TTGGAGTTCTCATGGACAAGTTGAACATGAGACAACAATGTGATGCAGCGGTAAAAAAGCCCCCGGGATTTTGGCCCCTATAATGTCTAGATCCAGGGAAGTCATGCTCCCCATGCTCTCTTCTGCTTTAGTTAGACCACATCTGGAATACTGTGTCCATTCTCCTGGCCTTCTCCATACCCAAAGATCTTGGAGTCCTCATGGACAACAAGTTAAACATGAGCTAACAATGGGATGCGGCAGTAAAAAAAGCCAACGGGATTTTGACCTCTATAGTGTCTAGATCCAGGGAAGTCATGCTCCCCATGATCTATTCTGCCTTGATTAGACCACATCTGGAATACTGTGTCCTATTCTGGGCACCACAATTGATGAGAGATGTTGACAAGCTGGAATGTGTCCAGAGGAAGGCAACTCAAATGATCAAGGGTCTGGAGAACAAGCCCTATGAGGAGCGGCTTAAGGAGCTAGGCATGTTTAGCCTGAAGAAGAGAAGGCTGAGAGGAGATATGATAGCCATGTATAAATATGTGAGAGGAAGCCACAGGGAGGAGGGAGCAAGCTTGTTTTCTGCAGCCCTGGAGACTAGGACCCAAGGGAACAATGGCTTCAACCTACAAGAAAGGAGATTCCATCTGAACATGAGGAAGAACTTCCTCACTGTGAGAGCCGTTCAGCAATGGAACTCTCTACCCTGGTGTGTGGTGGAGGCTCCTTCTTTGGAGGATTTTAAACAGAGGCTGGATGGCCATCTGTCGGGGTGATTTGAATGCAATATTCTTCCTTCTTGGCTGAATGGGGTTGGACTGGATGGCCCATGAGGTCTCTTCCAACTCTAGGATTCTATGATTCTAAGGGTCTGGAGAACAAGCCCTATGAGGAGCGGCTTAAAGAGCTGGACATATTTAGCCTGAAGAAGAGAAGGCTGAGATGAGACATGATAGCCATGTATAAATATGTGAGGGGGAGTCACCAGGAGGAGGGAGCAAGCTTGTTTTCTGCTTCCCTGGAGACTAGGATGCGGAACAATGGCTTCAAACTACAAGAAAGGAGATTCCATCTGAACATGAGGAAGAACTTCCTGACTGTGAGAGCCGTTCAGCAATGGAACTCTCTGCCCCGGAGTGTGGTGGAGGCTCCTTCTTTGGAGTAGTTTAAACAGAGGCTGGATGGCCATCTGTTGGGGGTGCTTTGAATGCAATATTCCTGCTTCTTGGCAGAATGGGGTTGGACTGGATGGCCCAGGAGGTCTCTTCCAACTCTTTGATTCTATGACCGACAGGTCGCAGGTTCGAATCGTGGGAGAGCGTGGATGAGCTCCCTCTATCAGCTCCAGCTCATCATGCGGGCACATGAGAGAAGCCTCCCACAAGGATGGTAAAACATCAAAACATCCGGGCGTTCCCTGGGCAATGTCCTTGCAGATGGCCAATTCTCTCACACTAGAAGCGACTTGCAGTTTCTCAAGTCACTCCTGATACAACAAAAAAAAATCCCTCCTTGCATCAGCGTGGCAGAAAGCATGAAATTTTAAAAGTTTAGGCTTAATGGTTGTGAAAATTAAAATAACCTTGGGAGACATCTGAACATTAGATAATATTTCTGAAAAATAAAAGGTAAGTGGTTCAAATTCGGATTTATCCTCCACCTTTCCTGCACGGTTCAAAACTGCTTCGGAAGTCAACATTCGTAAGTTTTTCCCGACTTTCAGGTTCTTCTGAATGAACTTATCCAACTGTGACGTGCATTACAGTAATCCATACAAAACGTAACCAAGGCGTGGACCTCCGTGACCAGATCTGGCTTTTCGAAGCATGGTCACGGTTGGTGCATAAGCTTTAATTGGGTGTAGGCCGTCCAAGCCACCAACGACACCTGAATTTCAAGCATCAGCACTGAGTCCAGGAGGACCCCCAAGTTGTGAACCTGTCTCTTCAACGGGAGTGTTACCTTGTCCAGCACGGGTTGCAACCCTGTGCATTCACTCACCCGATCAGCTTCACAAGCAGGATTACGTTTCAGTTTATTAGCCCTCATCCAGCCGCTGTGGCTGTCTGGATGAGGATGAACAAGCTGAAGATTAATCCCGACAAGATATTTATTTATTATTTATCTCCTTCACTTGTATACCGCTCTCTCTCAGCCCGTAGGCGACTCGGAGCGGTTTACAACCAAATCAGTATACAAAGTGCACAACATTCGCATTTAAAACTGTAATCATGATAACTACATCAATATAACAATACATCAATACATCCATATAACTAATCCATCACGTCTCATCAGTAAAGTCATAATCCGATCTCCTTGTCCATTATTCCATGTTCCAATAGTCAATCAATTAGTTGCACTGCTTAATTAAACGCCTGTTCAAAGAGCCAGGTTTTCACTCTTCTCCTGAACGCCAGTAAGGAGGGGGCCGATCTAATGTCTGCAGGAAGGGCGTTCCACAGCCGAGGGGCCACCACTGAGAAGGCCCTGTCTCTCGTCCCCACCAGCCGTGCTTGTGAGGCTGGCGGGATCGAGAGCAGGGCCTCCCCGGACGATCTTAATGTCCTAACTGGTTCATAGGGGGTGATGCGTTCGGACAGATAGGTCGGGCCAGAACCGTTTAGGGCTTTAAAGGCTAAAGCCAGCACTTTGAATTGTGCCCGGTAGCAAATTGGCAGCCAGTGGAGCTGGCGCAACAGAGGAGTTGTATGCTCCCTGAGTGCCGCTCCTGTTAGCATCCTGGCTGCCGATCGTTGGACCATTTGAAGCTTCCGAGCAGTCTTCAGAGGCAACCCCACGTAGAGAGCGTTGCAGTAGTCTATACGGGATGTAACCAGTGCGTGGACTACCGTGGCCAAGTCAGACTTCCCAAGGTACGGGCGCAGCTAGAGCACAAGTCCTTCTGGTCGAAGACAGAGGTCCTTCTGGTCGATCGTAAACCGGATCGGGGTATAGGGTGGCAACCTGTGCTGGACGGGGTTACACTCCCCCTGAAGTCACAGGTCCGCAGTTTGGGTGTCCTCTTGGACTCATCACTTACGCTTGAGGCTCAGGCGTCGGCGGTGGCCGGGAGGGCTTTTGCACAATTGAGACTCGTGTGCCAACTGCAACCGTACCTCGTGAAGGCTGATCTGGCCAGGGTGGTCCATGCCTTGGTCACCTCCAGATTGGACTACTGTAATGCGCTCTACATGGGGCTGCCCTTGAAAACGGCTCGGAAATTTCAGCTGGTCCAATGGGCCAGGTTGTTAACTGGTGCTCCTTACAGAGAGAGGTCAACCCTCCTGTTTAAGGAGCTCCATTGGCTGCCATTCATTTTCCGGTCCCAATTCAAGGTGCAGGTGCTCACCTACAAAGCCCTAAACGGTTTGGGACCCTAATGCCGCGACCCCTTCGTACAGGTCCTCATGTTGTGGTGACCCCCAACCATAATGTTATTTTTGTTGCTACTTCACAACTGTAATTTTGCTACTGTTATTATTCGTAATCTAAATATCTGATCTGCAAGATCCATTTTCAGTCACTGCACCAAATTTGGCACAAATACCCAATACGCCCAAATTTGAATACTGGTGAGGTTGGGGGTGATTGATTTTGCCATTTGGTAATGCTGGAGTTGCTGGGATTTATAGTTCACCTAAAACCAAAGAGCCTTCTGAACTCCACCAATGATTGGAATCAAACTTAGCACACAGAATTCCCATGACCAAGAGAAAATGCTGGGAAGGTCTGGTGGACATTGACCTTGACTTTTTTGGAGTTGTAGTTCACCTACTTCCAGAGAACACTGTGGACTCAAGCAATGATGGATCTGGATCAAACTTGGCACAAATACTCAATATGCCCAAATGTGAACACTGGTAGAGTTTGGAGAAAATAGACCTTGCCATTTGGGAGTTGTAATTGTTGGGATTTATAGTTCACCCACAATGAAATAGCATTCTGAACCCCACCCATAAGATTGGACCAAACTTTCCACACAGAACCCCCATGACCAATAGAAAATACTGTGTTTTCTGATGGTCTTTGGTGACTCCTCTGACACCCCCTTGCGACCCCCTTGGGGGTCCCGACTCCCAGGTTGAGAAACACTGACGGTTTGGGACCCGCCTACCTGTGTGACCGCATCTCCGTATATGAACCCACACGATCTCTCCGATCATCTGGAGAGGCCCTGCTCATGATCCCACCTGCGTCGCAAGCATCGCAAGCGCGATTGGTGGGGACGAGGGACAGAGCCTTCTCCATGGTGGCCCCCCGACTCTGGAACTCTCTCCCCAAGGACATCAGACAAGCCCCAACGTTGGAAGAGACCTCATGGGCCATCCAGTCCAACCCCATTCTGCCAAGAAGCAGGAATATTGCATTCAAATCACCCCTGACAGATGGCCATCCATATCTCCTCTCATCCTTCTCTTCTTCAGGCTAAACATGCCCAGCTCCTTAAGCCGCTCCTCATAGGGCTTGTTCTCCAGACTTGATCATTTGAGTCGCCCTCCTCTGGACACATTCCAGCTTGTCAATATCTCTCTTGAATTGTGGTGCCCAGAATTGGACACAATATTCCAGCTCTTTGTGCCCAGCTCTTTAAGCCGCTCCTCATAGGGCTTGTTCTCCAGACCCTTGCTTATTTTAGTTTTAGATCATTTCATCATTATTATTTATTTCCTGTTTTCTACTCTCTCTCAGTGAGACTCAAGCAATTAAAAAGTGCAAATGAGAATTAAAAACTTACAACATAATTTGATTCTGTCTCAATGTTGATATGTTTACTTCATATATATATATATATATATATATATAAATTTAATTTAATTTATCAAACACAGTTAGCTGCCTTGCTCCTCTTTAAGATGTAAATAATAATAATAATAAACAATCAAATCACCACTGAAATATAGTTCAAAGAGAGGGCTAAAACCACCTAGAAGCATTTAATTCACTAACTGCTTTGGAAGCCTTGGGGACTTCAACTCCCAGCAGCCCCAAGACAATTAGGTAGCCCTTACCCAGTTGCAGCCAACCGCCTTCGCCTCCTCTGCAGAAAGACAGCAAAGAATTGGGATCCAGCTGCTTTTCCGCAGCTCCCCTACCTGTAGGTCACATGATCCAGGCTCACGTGACCTCCCTGAGCCGCAGGGGCCGCCGGGAGTTGTAGTTTTTTGGCGCCCAAAGCAGAAAGAAGGGCTTGTGCTGCAGAAGAGAGACAGATAGTCTGCCACAGAGTGTTGTGCTGTTTATACATTGTTTGTGTGGCTTCAATTTGCATAAATTTTTTCTACATTTTGCATAATGTATGCTGGTGTTTTAAATCAAAGGGGAAGAAGGAAGGTTTGGTCCCAAAGGTAATTATGATGGTAAAATATGGATTTGCAGATTGGCAAAGATGGAATGGGATGAAATGATCACTTATGGGTTGGATCTCAATCATAGTTTTGCATGATGTCTTCCCAAAGCAAGTCTACAGTTCCAGGGATTACATAGCACTGTGTGCGGTTAAAGTGGTATCAAACTGCATTAAATCTACAGTGCAGATGCATCCCAAGAGGGACAAAATAGTCATAGAATCCTAGAGTTGGAAGACACCCCCAAGGAACATCCATTCCAACCCCATTCTGCCATTAAGACCACTACTGACCAAAAGGTCATGAGTTCGAAGCCAGCCCGGGTCGGAGTGAGTTTCCGACCAATTTGTGTAGCTTGCTGTTGACCTTTGCGGCCCGAAAGACAGTTGCATCTGTCAAGTAGGAAATTTAGGTACTGCTAATATACGATGCTATAAAAATCTCCAGCAAGCATGCAAAGAATGAGGAAGACACAATCCAATCCCTCTTGACAGATGGCCATCTAGCTGCGAGAAGCATAGAATCATTGAATCAAAGAGTTGGAAGAGACCTCATGGGCCATCCAGTCCAACCCCATTCTGCCAAGAAGCAGGAATATTGCATTCAAATCACCCCTGACATGGCCATCCAGCCTCTGTTTAAAAGCCTCCAAAGGAGCCTCCACAGGGCTTGTTCTCCAGACCCTTGACCATTTTAGTTGCCCTCCTCTGGACACATTCCAGCTTGTCAATATCTCTCTTGAATTGTGGTGCCCAGAATTAGACACAATATTCCAGGAGACTTCATCATCATTATTATTATCAGTTATTGAATCCTAGAATTGGAAGAGACCTCGAGAACCATCCATTCTAATCCTCTGCCATATGTTTTTGTTGTTGTTGTTGAATCCTAGAGACCTCAAGAACCATCCATTCTAATCCTCTGCCATACATTGTTGTTGTTGCTGACATGATAAATAAATAAAGCTATTGTCCTCTCTATCCTGTTATATGCCTGTGAAACGTGGACTGTCTACAGAGGTCACAGTCAACTCCTGGAACAATTCCATCAGCGTTGCCTCCAAAAAAATCCTGCAAATCTCTTGGAAAGGCAAGCGGACAAATGTCAGCGTGCTGGAAGAAGCAAAGACCACCAGCACTGAAGAGATGGTCCTCCGCCATCAACTCCGCTGGACCGGACACGTTGTCCGGATGCCCGACCACCAAAGCAGTTGCTCTACTCCGAACTCAAGAACGGAAAACAGAATGTTGGTGGGCAGGAAAAGAGATTGAAAGATGGGCTCAAAGCCAACCTTAAAAACTCTGGCATAGACACTGAGAACTGGGAAGCCCTGGCCCTTGAGTGCTCCAGCTGGAGGTCAGCTGTGACCAGCAGTGCTGCAGAATTTGAAGAGACGAATGGAGGGCGAAAGAGAATGTGCCAAGAGGAAGGCGTGTCAACCCCAACTGGGACCACTTCCACCTGGAAACCAATGCCCTCACTGCGAGAAACATGCAGGTCAAGAATAGGGCCCACAGTCACCTATGGACCCACCAGTAGATCTTGGAAGACTATCCTACTCGGACAACGAGGGATCTCCTAAGTAAGTAAGTAAGTAAGTAAGTAAGTATCTTCGTGACGTAGAGCTGACTATGCATGTAGCTTTGCCTGCTTGTAACAGAGGAAATGGACAATAAGTTAAACACGAGCCAACAATGTGATGTGGCGGCAAAAAAATCAAGATTGCTAAGATCATCTGGAGGGGCGCGGCGGGTGGGGACGAGAGACAAGGCCTTCTCGGTGGTGGCCCCTCGACTCTGGAACTCCCTTCCACTGGAGATCAGAACTGCCCTTCTATCTTAATGTTCAGGAAACAGGTGAAAACTTGGCTTTGGGGATTGGCATTCGACGAATGAGCCATGATCCTGTGATATGGATGGATGACGACGAATAATGATTTTTGATGACGACTGACCACTGTAATTATATGATTGTATTTTGCTATTTTAATGTTTTAGTGTGATTTAGAATATGATGTTTTAATGACTGTCTGTAATATTGATGTTGGAAACCGGCCTGAGTCCCTCGAACGGAGGTGAGAAGACCTCTGCTAAATAAATAAATAAATGGGATTTTGGCCTGCATCAATAGGGGCATAGTGTCTAGATCTAGGGAAGTCATGCTCCCCATGCTCTATTCCGCCTTGGTTAGACCACACCTGAAATATTGTGTCCAATTCTGGGCACCACAATTCAAGAGAGATATTGACAAGCTGGAATGTGTCCAGAGGAGGGCGACTAAAATGATCAAGGGTCTGGAGAACAAGCCCTATGAGGAGTGGCTTAAGGAGCTGGCATGTTTAGCCTGAGAAGAGAAGGCTGAGAGGAAATATGGTAGCCATGTATAAATATGTGAGAGGAAGCCACAGGGCGGAGGGAGCAAGCTTGTTTTCTGCTTCCTTGGAGACTAGGACACGGAACAATGGCTTCAAACTACAAGAGAGGAGATTCCATCTGAACACGAGGAAGAACTTCATGACTGTGAGAGCCGTTCAGCAGTGGAACTCTCTGCCCCGGAGTGTGGTGGAGGCTCCTTCTTTGGAAGCTTTTAAACAGAGGCTGGATGGCCATCTGTCAGGGGTGCTTTGAATGCAATATTCCTGCTTCTTGGCAGAATGGGGTTGGACTGGATGGCCCAGGAGGTCTCTTCCAACTCTTTGATTCTATGATTCTATGAATGTATAAAAGAGGAGAATTCCCTTTATTTAGCACTCTGGCTTTTGGAACTGACTCAACCAGAGTCTACCAGCTGGTAAATAAACTGTGTATTGGGTCGTTGTGGGTTTTCCCGGCTGTATGGCCATGTTCCAGAAGCATTCTCTCCTGACGTTTCGCCTGGAACATAACCATACAGCCTGGAAAACTCACAGCAACCCAACAATTTTGGCCATGAAAGCCTTCGACAACAAACTGTGTTTTTTTCTCAAGTCTCAAGAAAGGTCTCATTGGCTTTCTCTCCATCCACTTCACGACCATAATGTAAACATGGACCAAATTGTATGTGTTGTGGTGGTACAGCTGTACCAGAAACTCCCACTTTATTTGCCTTGTATTAAGGCCATAAAGAAGACTCCAGCAAAGCATTCCAGCGGGGAAGCATGCGGGGAATGCGGAAGTGCTTCATCAGCATCACAGATGGATGATGAAAGCAACAGCTCCCCGGCGGCCAGAAAAAGTTAAAATAGCCTCTGTCTATGTCTGTATATGTTGTATGTCAAAATTGGCATTGAATGTTTGCCATATATGTGTACACTGTAATCCGCCCTGAGTCCCCTGCGGAATATAAAAGGGCGGAATATAAAAGCTTTAAATAAATAATAAATAAAATAAGTGTTTGCTTGCAGCCCAAGGCTTGGGATTCTGCAGAAGGGTGGCTTCCTATTAAAGTTTGCAGTTATAGGGCAGGCCCCCTGTCCATCATTGTTAAGTTTGGTTCCGCCCCCTGTTCAGGACAATTGAGAAGGGAGGGGAGCTATTTTCAGTCAGTCTCAGCAAGGAAAATCAATGTACAGGACGTATACAGATTTCTCCTGTACAAAGGCTTCAACCCTTAAGACCTCCCAGGGGAGAATTATTATTATTATTATTATTATTATTATTATTATTATTATTAACTTTATTTGTACCCCGCTAGCATCTCCCGCAATATTGTGTCCAATTCTGGGCACCACAATTCAAGAGAGATATTGACAAGCTGGAATGTGTCCAGAGGAGGGCGACTAAAATGATCAAGGGTCTGGAGAACAAACCCTATGAGGAGCGGCCTAAGGAGCTGGGCATGTTTACCCCGAAGAAGCGAAGGCTGAGAGGAGATATGATAGCCATGTATAAATATGTGAGAGGAAGTCACAGGGAGGAGGGAGCAAGCTTGTTTTCTGCTCCTTGGAGACTAGGACGCGGAACAATGGCTTCAAACTACAAGAAAGGAGATTCCATCTGAACATGAGGAAGAACTTCCTGACTGTGAGAGCCGTTCAGCAGTGGAACTCTCTGCCCCGGAGTGTGGTGAGGCTCCTTCTTTGGAAGCTTTTAAACAGAGGCTGGATAGTTATTAAACAATCTGCTTCTTGGCAGGGGGTTGGACTGGATGGCCCATGAGGTCTCTTCCAACTCTAGGATTCTATGAGTCTATGAGGACTCGATGCGGCTTACACAGGCCATGGCCTCAATAAAACAACAGCATAACAAAACACATAACTTAAAGCAAATAAACAATAAAACAATAGCAGTAAACAATAAAAACAATACACCATAACACAATAAAACTAGGGCCGGGCCAAATGTAATGGGTACAGATTAAAAAGTGCTGGGTGTGACATGTGGATGTAGGATTTTAGGGTAAGTGCAATGTGCAGACCATCTTAAAACTCTGATAAAGTGCTTCTGGGACATATTGCTGGAGTACCTATTCTGGAAAGGCACATCGGATCAGCCAGGTCTTCAAACTCTTCCTAAAGACTGCCAACGTAGGGGCTTGTCTGATGTCTTTGGGGAGGGTGTTCCAAAGTCAGGGGGCTACCACAGAAAAGGCCCTGTCTCTCGTCCCCACCAAACGTGCTTGCGACGCAGGTGGGATCGCAAGCAGGGCCTCTCCGGATGAGGGAAGAGAATGCGTGGGTTCATAAACGGAGATGCGGTCACGCAGGTAGGAGGGCCCAAACCGTTTAGGGCTTTGTAGGTGAGCACCTGCACCTTGAATTGGGACCGGAAAATGAACGGCAGCCAATGGAGCTCCTTAAGCAGGAGGGTTGACCTCTCCCTGTAAGGAGCACCAGTTAACATCCTGGCCACTGCCCGTTGGACCAGCTGAAATTTCCGAGCCGTTTTCAAGGGCAGCCCCACGTAGAGCGCATTACAGTAATCCAATCTAGAGGTGACCAAGGCATGGACCACCCCGGCCAGATCAGCCTTTGCAAGGTAGTCGCAGTTGGCGCACGAGTCTCAGTTGTGCAAAAGTCCTCCCAGACACCGCCGATGCCTGAGCCTCAAGCGTAAGCGATGTATCCAAGAGGACTCCCAAACTGCGGACCTGTGACTTCAGGGGGAGTGTAACCCTGTCCAGCCCAGGTTGCCACCCTATATCCCGAACAGTCTTAAGAGCATCTAAAGATTCCCAAAGGTTCCCAGCCCCAAGGAATTTCGGAGGGAATAACAGCTTTGAACATCAAGAACTCCAGCTAAGTGACTACAGGCCTACTGGTAGGTCCACTCGGTTTTGAGACGCAGTTCAGCCCGGTAGTGGATCCACATCAGTTAGGTTTAGGATCACAGTTAGCCTGGGACAAGTTTGGAAAGGGATTTTCCTTTAGAGTAAAGCAACAGTTAGAAGTCACCAGTTGCACAAAGCCTGGAAGTATTTGTTTAACCTTTTGAAGACAAAAGAAGTTTCTGTTGATTGTTCACCAATAAAAGACTTTGTTATATTTTACAAGCCCTCTAGAGACTGTTTATGGTGAAAATCCTTAAGAATTTCTCTTCGGGCCCCCTGGCTTCCCGCTGGGCTAAAATCGCACGTCCTGTTTTAAAAGCAATTCGTTTCAAGCCCAGCGCGCGACAGAACATAAAGATACAAGACATAAAATCGAGTGTATAGATATGGCTTTATTTGGTTTTTCTCAGATAAGTATTTGTGCATCTCAGGCAACCAGTGGTCAGCTTTCTCCCAGCGTGCCAGAGAAGGCCATTTGCTTCAGTGTCTTGCCAAGTAGAAATCTAAATTATTTTTGAGTTGAAATACAGAGGTTAACAGTCATAGGACCCTCTATACATCCCTCCAAGGAAGAGGAGAATACGCTTCATTCGGTACTAAAGAGCTTTGGACCCATTCAGGAAGGAGAAGGAAGTGAAGTCGGGTCCTGAGGAACCGGTCCCATTGCGAGACGGAGTTGGATCCGATGCTTCGTGGGTTCTTCACATTGACTGACACTCTCCAGATCTGAGCAACCTTTCCGAAAGTCCTAATTTATTATAAAGGAACCCCAAAACATCCAACGAGTCCAAGCCCTATCCCTTCCTTGTCAGAAGAAGCAGCCAACCAAAGGCACAGCTAAAGTGAGGTATCAAAAACAAGTGCAGAAGGTTGCAAGTTGCATATTAGGTGAAGGAAACGAGGGACAAGGTGATGGAGCAGCAGATGGAGGCAAGGAGTAGGGACGGTCCATCTCTTGGTTGGGAATATCGGGTTGACTGTTGATGACATGATGTCCATCAAGCACTGCATACAAGAGTTTGTTCCTATCACCTTTGTCCAGGTAAGCGTGGCAGTGTTCCAATGACACAACTATAACACACAAGTAGACTTTTGTGAAATCCTGGGATTTTTGGTTCTTTTGGATCCCCAACAAACTGCAAATCCCAAAGTCCTATGTGACAGAGCCTGGGAGCTCTGAGTGCGATTAGTATGTAATGTGGAAGAGACCCACAAGTGGGATGAGCCAGTGCTTTGCATGAGCCAGGATCGATGAGTGGGGAATATTGGGGTGGAAAGAGCGAGCCCCTTCTTAGCGTGCATATTGTGAGTGCGAGAGAAGCCATCTCAGTCGTGCGTCGGAGTCACTAGTGCACACCAACCACTAGTCTCCAGGGTCTGAGGAGTGAAAAACTATTCTTTGGTTTCGGGTGGTTGTTTCCATAAGAAGACTCCACGGTTTGCCAGCGTCGCCATTGCATAATTCAGAAGAGCGGATCCTGCATGCATACACATATACACACACGCACTGCACATATTTCCACTCTGCCCAGGTCTCAAACAAGCTTCTTCCCGATCTGCTTATTCCCAGTATCCGGTCCATGGGCAAAGGCCACGAAGGGCTGAGAGCGGGGTGGATGCGCCAACCACATCGGACTTCACAGGTTGCTCTCTCTGGCCAGTCCGCTCAGGCTGCGGGGCCGTCTCCGCTCTAGCCGTCGGCCCGATAACAAGCGGCGCAAGGATGAGGTAGAGCTTAGATCCCCACAGCTCTGCAGGTGGATCCCCTCCGGAGAGGAGTGTTCGATCCGCAGCCGGGAAACCTGCAGAAATAACAAACCATTATCTAGTGGAAAAGTCAAGAAAAATGCTTTCCTTCCAGTTTTGGGATCTGAAAAGGTTTATAATGATTGACGGGAGAGAGTTGTCTCAGTTGAGTCAACGTTATTTACCAAGGTCTTGCTTTCAAGTGCTCTGAGTTTCATGTACCAAGTTTTTGCCAAGTCTATGGGATTTTCCTGCTGTTTTGGCACCTTTTTCTTTCCAGTCTCACCTATGTGTTGCCAAATTGAAATCTGAAGACCGGGGTTTCTTAAAACATTTTTCCCTTTCTGCCTGATAATTTTTATAAGACCTGAGATCCACAGGAAAGTGAAAATATGTGGTTGGGATATCCACTTCCACAGACGGGCTCCCACTTCCACAAACATACATATATAGAAGTCTGACTTGGTCACGGTGGTCCACGCTCTGCTTACATCCCGTTTAGACTACTGCAATGCTCTCTACGTGGGGTTGCCTCTGAAGACTGCCCGGAAGCTTCAATTAGTCCAACGAGCGGCAGCCAGATTGCTAACAGGAGCGGGGTACAGAGACCATACGACCCCTCTGTTACGCCAGCTCCACTGGCTGCCGATTAGCTTCCGAGCACAATTCAAAGTGCTGGTTTTGACCTATAAAGCCCTAAACGACTCCGGCCCAGTTTACCTGTCTGAACGGATTCTCCCCTATGAACCATCAAGGTTACTAATATCTTCCGGAGGGGCCCTGCTCTCAGTCCCACCACCTTCGCAATTGCGGTTGGTGGGAACGAGGGACAGGGCCTTCTCAGTGGTGGCTCCTCGGCTTTGGAATTCCCTCCCATCAGAGATTAGATCTGCTCCCTCCCTCCTGACCTTTAGAAAATGAATAAAAATCTGGCTTTGGAATATGGCATTTGAGGATTGAGTCAATAACCCTTGTCCACATGAAAGGATGGCGATGAATTGTGACTGTATTGACGACTTGGCTTGTGTAGTGTGATGATGATGTTTTTATTGTCCTTATATTTTAATGTATAATGATGATGCATTGTGCTGTTTTGTATATTACTGTATATGAACACATGTTGTGAACCGGCCTGAGTCCCTCCTTGGAGGTGAGAAGACTTCTAAATAAATAAATAAATACACACACACACACACATATACATACATACATGCATGCATATTTTCATATATGTATATATATAAAATATATAATCTATACACATAATCAGGCGGCTGAAGCAATAGGCAAGATACACATTTGCGTATAGCGCAAATCCCCGAGGGGCAGTCTTGAGGCGCCCCCGTGTGTAGTACTTGTAGACCAAAAATAACAACAAAAACTTAAAATGGTTGCAAAGTTTAATAAAATGTTTGCATTCTTAAAAAAGTTAATTTGTGTTAATTCTAGTTTGAAAGGTAACTCTTTTATTCACATCTACCTTCTACCTTTTATTTTTCAGTAATTGGTTTGAGGGGGGGGCAAAATACTATTTGCTTACACCTGAAAATTACCTAGGGCTGGCCCTGCACATAATAAAAGTGAAAATATGTATGTGTGGCTGGGGTGCCCACTTTCACAGACAAGCTTCCACCTCCACAAACAGCTATAGTTTCCATTACTCTGGAGACACCAATGGCCCTCCCTCCAATGACATTGCAGGTTATAGTCAGCGCCGTGCTCTTCCATGTCCAAGAGCACTGCCAATGTCCTCCACGAATACCACACTGACCACCACTCGAGTGAAGGGGACAATTTCATCCTAGATTTAATGTTTCCCCACCACCACAGATATCCCAGTGTTGCTTACTCTCTCCATTGGTATGGAATTTGCATGACCCTGTCCACTGCCTCTCCCTTAACCCTTTCCTATTCTTTTTTATGCCACACAGCAAAGAGATGAATTGATCAGCATCTGAACATACTAGAGAGGTTTGGGGAGAATTCATCATAATTTATAGGAGTTGTAGGTCCTGGGATGTATGTTGTTGTTGTTCATTCGTTCAGTCGTCTCCGACTCTTTGTGACCTCATGGACCAGTCCACGCCAGAGCTCCCTGTCGGCCGTCACCACCCCCAGCTCCTTCAAGGTCAGTCCAGTCACTTCAAGGATGCCATCCATCCATCTTGCCCTTGGTCGGCCCCTCTTCCTTTTGCCTTCCACTTTCCCCAGCATAATTGTCTTCTCTAGGCTTTCCTGTCTCCTCATGATGTGGCCAAAGGACTTCAACTTTGTCTCTAGTCTCCTTCCCTCCAGTGAGCAGTCGGGCTTTATTTCCTGGAGGATGGACTGGTTGGATCTTCTCGCAGTCCAAGGCACTCTCAGAACTTTCCTCCAACACCACAGCTCAAAAGCATCGATCTTCCTTCGCTCAGCCTTCCCTAAGGTCCAGCTCTCACATCCGTAGGTGACTACAGGGAATACCATGGCTTTGACTAGGCAATGGATCTTGGTTGCCAGTCTGATGTCTCTGCTCTTCACTATTTTATCGAGATTGGACATTGCTCTCCTCCCAAGAAGGAAGCGTCTCCTGATTTCCTGGCCACAGTCTGCATCTGCAGTCATCTTTGCGCCTAGAAATACAAAGTCTGTCACGGCCTCCACGTTTTCTCCCTCTATTTCCCAGTTGTCAATCATTCTTGTTGCCATAATCTTGGTTTTTTTGATGTTTAGCTGCAACCCAGCTTTTGCGCTTTCTTCTTTCACCTTGATTAGAAGGCTCCTCAGCTCCTCCTCGCTTTTGGCCATCAGAGTGGTGTCATCTGCATATCTGAGGTTGTTAATGTTTCTTCCAGCAATTTTCACCCCAGCTTTGCATTCCTCAAGCCCCGCACATCGCATGATGTGTTCTGCATACAAGTTAAAAAGGTTGGGTGAGAGTATGCAGCCTTGCCGGACGCCTTTCCCAATCTTGAACCCGTCTGTTGTTCCGTGGTCAGTTCTGACTGTTGCTACTTGGTCCTTGTACAGATTCCTCAGGAGAGAGGGAAGGGGACTTGGGATGCCCATCCCACCAAGAACTTGCCACAATTTATTATGATCCACACAGTCAAAGGCTTTAGAATAGTCAATGAAGCAGAAGTAGATGTTTTTCTGAAACTCCCTGCCTTTCTCCATTATCCAGCAGATATTGGCAATCTGGTCTCTCGTTCCTCTACCTTTTCTAAACCCAGCTTGAACATCTGGCAACTCTCGCTCCATGTATTGCTGGAGTCTTCCTTGCAGGATCTTGAGTATAGTTCACCTGCAATCTAAGAACTGCACTCTGAACTCCACCAATGATGGACTTGGAACTAACTTGGCACACATAACCCCCATGACCAACAAATATACTGGAGGTCTTTGGAGGGATTTATAGGAGTTGTAGTTTACCTACATCCAGAGCGCACTATCAACCCAAACAATGTTGGATCTGGACCAAACTTGGCATACATACCCGATATGCCCAAATTTGAATACAGGTGGGTTTTGAAGGGAATAGAAGTGGGTCAGGGGAAATCTTTAATGAACGCCCCTCATATCAAGACTTTCAGTCGAATGCAGAAAAGCCAATTTGCTCTCTACCTGCTTGCGGCTCTGTGTGCCACTGCGAGGAGCCGTGTCCAGCCCTGCGTGGGCCAAGTTGCGCTTGGATCTGTGCAGGAAACGGGCCATGAGACCCCGGGTCCCACGGCATGCCTTCAGGTCTCCTAGGGAGCGTGTGGTCGCCTTGGGAAGGTGAAGTGGCCCTTTCCGTGGTACTTCCAGCTTGGCCTTCCCTGCCAGGTGAGCTTGAGAGGCTGGTCCATGGAGGGACAGGTACAAATGGCAAGACTCCAGAGAAGGTCCTGGGAAGAGGTAAGATGCAAGAAAGTAGGTAAGCGGGGAACAATTGTTTGGACATCAGAGGCCTTTCCATTTTTGAGGCTCTCCAGACAACTCTATAGTAACTGCTAGGGGCTGTTGTATGTCACCTGTGATTGTGTCTAATGTTCATGTTGATGTTCATGATGGGAATAATGTTCATATTGATGTTCATGATGGGAATGGGGATGATGTTTCTGATGATGTGCCTGGGGATGAGGGTTTGCTTGGGCCTGAGTTAAGTTCAGAAGAGAGCCCTGAGCTGTCTCAGGAAGATTCACAAGGCCACATTCCTGGGAGAAACCTTTCACTGCTTTTCTCAGAGTAATTGTCTGAAAATGATGCTGAGACTGATTTGCCAGGTGCAGGAGTTAATGAGAGAGAGGATAGTTGTGGCGAGGGAGGGAGACTATTTCCTTGTTAAAAACCTAAACCTCTTTATTCTTATACTGATTCAGTTACTTTTTTTATATTGGCTGGGACTTTCTGTGTGCTGTTAAACTTTTGTACTTTATATCACAAGCAATGAGACACTCTTCTGTATAACAAAGTAACACAGTTTATTTATAACTTCTGGCTCCAACGCTTGTGGTTACATTTGTGTTTTGTTGTAATCTTGAGGCTTACAGTCAGTATAATATACTTGGTTTACTTTTCTGAATAGACTTTCAATGTTTCACATTCACAAACATGTTACTTGCTTTACACACTCTTGACTGAAATTATATTCTGACTAAAGCACCACTGGCTTTCTTTATGTTCCTTAAAAACTCGAGCTCTATTTAACTAACTGCTTCTCTATATCAGAGGTCTTTAACACATCCTCATAACTACTTATTTTTAACAGGCACTCAAAAACCAACTATCTTTTTCGCACAGAGATTCCTAACTCTTTTCTCTCACAGAAGTTCCACCTTCATTACTTGGCTTTGGATGGGAATATTTTAATAAATCAAATGCAGAAATAATCCTTAGAACACAGCCTTCTGGGAAATGCAGTTTGGGAAGGCGAGGCCCCCTGTGGCAGAGATCGCAAAAGGCCCTGCCCTCAACTACACTTCCCAGAATGCAGTGCTCAGCATCAGAAAGCCCCAATGATGCAAATCGTTCAGAGGTCAGTCTAATAATAAAAAATAAAATGATTGAATCTGTAAAGAGGACTAAAGTAAGTAAGTAATAGTATACATCTATGCCAAGTTGTGTGGTTGTGTCATAAAGACAGACATTCAAGGGGATTGCTGTTGTCGCTTTTTTGGGAGATATTGTTTTTGTCTAAACTTTTAAAATCTCCAAAAATCCTAAATCTTTCTGAAACTTCTGACGATTGATACCCTGGTGATCTTGTGCATTGTGTATAAAATTCTTGTAGGGTTTTTTTTCCAGAAAAAGTTGTTTATAAAAACTTTGAAAATTCCCCAAAAATCCGTAGATATGTTAAATGTCCTGAAGTTTGGTGGGATAACAGTGGTAAATGTGCTCTACCATTGTAGCAAGTTCCACCCTAATAGCTTTAAAAATGAGGGAGAAAAGAGCCCCTGAAGTTTCCCCAATTATAGTAATTTATGCACAATTACGGTAACGAAATAGTAACGAAATTTCATTAATCTCATTTGCTATTATTCACCATTTCCTGTTTCTATATGTTCAGGAATGCATGCTTCGTGAACAAATATAATTAATGGATACAATGGCTTCCAATATATTCTGCTGCTTTCGAAATCGGAATAGCAACAGATATCTATGTACATAAAAGTGAAAATGTATGTTTGTAACTGAATTGCACTAGAAAGACATTGAATTCTGACTCATTTTACTCACTTGAAACACTACATGGGTGGATAACACATTCAAAAATCGAGAACCTATTTTTATTGAAACATTCCCTTCACCTGTATCCGCTGAAGAGTTGGACCTGTTGTCCTCAGACACTTTGGTGCAGAATACCTCCTGGAAATCACCTTCTGAAAGGAATGGGGAAAAGAAAGGCAGAAATCGTGAAGATGTGTATCCTGAGCTGCTGAACTTGCTGACTGAAAGGTTGCTGGTTCGAATGCAGGGAGCAGCTTCTGTTAGCCCCAGCTTCTGCCAATCTAGCAGTTCAAAAACATGAAAAATGTGGGCCTGTAAAGAATTGCCTTTAAAATAGGACATGCAACTTGAGCCCAGCGGGAAGCCAGGGGCCCCCGAAGAGAAGTTCTCAAGGATTTTCCACCACAAATAGACTTTAGATGGCTTGTGAAGTATAACAAAGTATTTTATTAATGAACAATCAAACAGAAACTTCTCTTGTCTTCAATAAAGTTAAATAAATGCTTCCAAGCCTTTATGCAACTGGTGGCTTCCTAATCATGTCCACGAGGGACAGGCAATTGTCTTCAATAACTGTTTCTTTACTTTAAGGAAAACCCTTTTTTAACTTCTCCCAGGCTATTTATTTGTCATGTCAGGACAACCAGTCAAATTATATTACATTTCTAACAGAACAAAGCAGAACAAACAGACAAAATACAAAATTTGTGAGTTTCTCCCAGGCTGACTGTAATGTAATCCTTACTGATGTGGGCTCCGCTACCAGGTTGAACTACATCTCGAGCACCGAGTGGACCTACCAGTAAGGCCAGTAGATTCTCCAGCTGGAGTTCTTTGGTCTTCCAAACTGTTTACCCTCCGAAATTCCTCAAAGCTTTAGGGCTGTTTCCCTGGAAATCTTTGGAAATCTTTGGATGCTCTTAAGACTGTTCTCCCCCGGAAAGTCTTAAGGGTTGAAGCTTTTGTACAGGAGAAGCTTGTACACGTCCTCTAAATTAGCTTTCCTTACTGAGACTAACTAAAAAATGGCTCCCTTCTCGATTGCCCTGAACAAGGGGCGGAACCAAAACTTAATGATGATGGACAGGTGACTTGCCCTACGACTGCAACCAAAGGAAGCCATCTTTCTGTAGAATCCCTGAAACCTTGGACTGCAAGCAAACATTTAATACAAAGCAAACAAAGTTGGAGCTCCTGGTACAGTCGTACCAGCACAATGTGAGTAGATCAATTGGTACTGTCTTGGCAGGAAGATAATGGCGCTCCACGCAGTCATGCTGGCCACATGACTTTGGCGGTGTCTACAGAGAACGCTGGCTCTTTGGCTTAGAAATTGAGATGAGCACCACCACCCCAGAGTCGGACACAACTAGACTTAATGTAAAGGGGAGTAGGTGCAAAGCGTGATATTTTACACCGCCTTTTTTCCTGGGGATGAGATCTCCATTTTGGAAGCTCCCCTGTCTCTTTCAGTTTATAAAAAAGCCTCAGATGTGCTGTTAGGACAAGCTAAGGCAGCTCTGACAAGCCATTGTAAGTACAATTGAGTAATTGAGAAATTGAGTACTATAGAGATAGATAGATAGATATAGGAATTGAGATATTGAGTTAGAGAAGCTTATTGAGAAACATATTGAGATAGAGAGAGAGATACTTCATTACTTCATCTCCAAAGCTAACCTTGAGCTTAGATAGGAAGACCTGTTCTTTCTAACCATAGCGGCTCAGGGTTAGGGTAGAGTGTCCCAGGATTTTCTACCATTGGGGGAAGTTAACTTAGCAGCTGAAGGAGATTCCATCTGACTATGACGAAGAACTTCCTGACTGTGAGAGCCGTTCAGCAGTGGAACTCTCTGCCCTGGAGTGTGGTGGAGGCTCCTTCTTTGGAGGCTTTTAAACAGAGGCTGAATGGCCATCTGTCAGGGGTGATTTGAATGCAATATTCCTGCTTCTTGGCAGGAGGTTGGACTGGATGGCCCATGAGGTCTCTTCCAACTCTTTGATTCTATGATTCTATTATTATTATTATTATTATTATTATTATTATTATTATTATTATTATTATCCTTCACCATTCCCAATGCCACACAAAGGAAAAAGGAAGCAAAGGTCAGGAAAAGAAAGCAATATACCATTCTAGGATGGTACGATTCTAGGATTTTACGATTCGACTCACCTGCATCGCTGTTCATGGTAATCCCAGGGTCACTGTGGGACCGCACCAAGGGACACTGGACCGAAGGCAGCCGGTACGAAGAAGTCTCGCTACTCCGGCGCTGCCTCCCGGTGCCTTTGCGCCCGGCCAAGGAGGTCTTGGCTTTGACCCGCACTTCGGGGAAGCAGGGCCCTACGCTGTGGCCCAGCCCTTCCAGGCGGTGGCAACTGTGCGTCAAGGTGCTGCTGACGTCCAGCAAGCCCTCGTAGCCCGTGCCAGGCGTGGAGCAAGAGTAGGAGCGTTCCCCGCGCAGGCGTGCCTGGGGGCTCTCCTCAAAGGGGCCCTGAGGGTGCAGGCCACACTGGCCACAGTCCACGCTCAGGCAGTAGTCAGCCCGGCTTCGCTGGATGGAGCGAAACAAGACGTAGTCCACGGAGCAGACGGAGCCACTGCCTTCCAACAAGCAGGAGTCCTCCGAGGGGCTGCTTTCCCCTGGGATGTCCACGATCTCGGACATAATGAGGGAGCCGCTGCCCACGGAAACCGCTTTGTGGGAGAAAGAGAAAAAGGGAAAAGAGAGAAAGAGGATTTGAAGGATTTGGAAACGTTCAGCTCATACGTTTCATCATTAGGAAGAACTTCCTGACTGTGAGAGCCGTTCAGCAGTGGAACTCTCTGCCCCGGAGTGTGGTGGAGGCTCCTTCTTTGGAAGCTTTTAAGCAGAGGCTGGATGGCCATCTGTCAGGGGTGATTTGAATGCAATATTCCTGCTTCTTGGCAGGGGGTTGGACTAGATGGCCCATGAGGTCTCTTCCAACTCTTTGATTCTATGATTCTATCATTGACATAACTGAAGTAAACTGAAAAATTACTTTTGCATTTTGAGAGCAGTTTGCAATAGCAAATTATTTTGGTTGCTAGTTCATAACTAATTTTGCTACTGTTATGAATTGTAATGTAAATATCTGATATGAATAATAATAATAATAATAATAATAATAATAATAATAATAAACCTTTATTTGTACCTCGCTACCATCTCCCGAAGGACTCGGTGCAGCTTACAAGAGGCCGAGCCCAAATACAACAATAAAAACAGCAGCAACAACAACAACACAATAACTAAAAAAAACAAAGCAATAACATTAACAACACCCAATGACGCAATTAAAAACAATGGCCAGGCCACATGTAATAATTAAAATTAAAAGTGCTGGGCATAACAAGGTGGGGTGTTTGGAGGGGGATGGGCATGCTGATATCCTGGATCTCTGCTAAAGTGCGTTGGGACATAATGCTAGGACTTTCCTTATTCTGGGAAGGCACACTGGAACAACCACGTTTTCAAGCTCCTCCTAAAGATTGCTAGCGATGGGGCCTGCCTGATGTCCTTAGAGAGAGAGTTCCAGAGTTGAGGGGCCACCACCGAGAAAGCCCTATCCCTCGTCCCCACCAATCGCGCTTGCGATGCAGATGAACGAAGAGATCGTGTGGGTTCATACACAGAGATGCGGTCACACAGGTAGGAGGGTCCCAAACCATTTAGAGTTTTGTAGGTAAGCACCTGCACCTTGAATTGGGACCGGATAATGAATGGCAGCCAGTGGAGCTCCTTAAACAGGAGGGTTGACCTCTCTCTGTAAGGAGCACCAGTTAACAACCTGGCCGCCGCCCATTGGACCAATTGAAATTTTTGGGCCGTTTTCAAGGGCAGCCCCACGTAGAGCGCATTACAGTAGTCCAATCTGGAAGTGACTAAGGCATGGACCACCCTGGCTAGATCCGCCTTCACGAGGTACGGTCGCAGTTGGCGCACGAGTCTTAATTGTGCGAAGGCCCTCCTAGCCACCGCCGACATCTGAGCTTCAAGCGACAGTGATGAGTCTAGGAGGACACCCAGACTGCGGACCTGTGACTTCAGGGGGAGTGTAACTCCATCCAGCACAGGTTGCCACCCTATACCCCGATCCGGTTTACGATCGACCAGGAGGACCTCTGTCTTGTCGGGATTGATCTTGAGCTTGTTCTTCCTCATCCGCTGTGGCTGTCTGGATAGATAATCATAGATAATCATAGAATCAAAGAGTTGGAAGAGACCTCATGGGCCATCCAGTCCAACCCCTTGCCAAGAAGCAGGAATATTGCATTCAAATCACCCCTGACAGAGGGGTTGGACTGGATGGCCATGAGGTCTCTCAACTCTTTGATTCTATGATTATCTTTTTTTTATCCAGACAGCCACAGCGGCCAAGCACTTGTCCAGCACCCGAGGGGCTTTCCTTGGAGTTAGGTGAAAAAGAGTAGTAGAGTTGTGTGTCATCTGCATAGAGATGGCAACCAACTCCAAAACTCCGGATGACCTCTCCCAGCGGTTTCATGTAGATGTTGAAAAGCATGGGTGACAGAATGGAACCTTGCGGGACCCCACAGGTCAAAGGCCAGGGGTTCGAGCAGGCGTCTCCCAGCTTCACCAACTGGGAATGACCCTCCAGGAAGGAATGGAGCCACGATAGAACCGTGCCCCCAAGGCCCATCCCGGAGAGTCGTCCCAGAAGGATACCATGATCGATGGGATCGAAAGCCGCTGAGATGTCCAAGAGAACTAACAGGGTCACACTCCCCCTGTCCAGTTCTCTGCGGAGGTCATTCACCAAGGCGACCAAAGCCTTCCCGGTGCCGTGGCCAGGTCTGAAGCCAGACTGTGACTGGTCTAGGTAATTGATGTCATCCAGAAAGCCCTGGAGCTGGGAGGCGACCACCCGCTCCAGCACCTTGCCCAGAAAAGAGAGGTTGGAGATAGGTCTGTAGTCATTCAGCACCGTGGAGTCAAGGGAAGGCTTTTTTAGAAGTGGTCGAACCACAGCCTGTTTTAGCTGAGATGGGAAAATTCCCTGCTCCAACGAAACACTGAAAACAATATTGTCCTTACCTTCACCGCTGAGCACAACAGAAGGGATCCGGTTGCAGGAGCAAGGGCCATGTGAGGTATCTGTGAACTGCGAGTCAAAGAGCGTCACCTGGAGAGGTCGAGAAAGTCACATTCATCAAGAAAGATGTGGAAAAGGAGATGTCATTATGAATTCTGATCTAAGGACCCATCCAAACCAGCAATCTGCTTCCAGCAGTAGCCAGCTCGATCATAAGGTTGGAAAGAGACCCCGAGGGCCAGCCAGTCCAACAACATTTTACCAAGCAGGAAGACACCATCAAAGCCCTCCCGACAGATGGCCATCCATACCTGGCTGTCCCCGTGAAGTCCCATGACTGCTTCGTAACTGGGAGGGAAGTCGGTCGGATAGAGTGGCACTGGGCTGTCCATGGAGCCATTGTAGGTAATACTAAAAGGGGTTGCGGTAGAGTAAAATATCACATTATCCGTATAATATTTTATTTATTTATTTAAAACATTTATATTCCGCCCTTCTCACCCCTAAAGGGACTCATGGCGGAGCACAGCATATATACGGCAAACATTCAAATTCTTATATACATACATAGACATTAAAATCATTTATCAAAATATTAAAATACACCATTTAAAACCGTCCTAATCATCCACGTCAAATCTAATCAGCCTGGTCATCTTTCCTATTGCTGCTTTATTGTCCCGTCCCGAAAGCTTGGTCCCACAGCCAAGTTTTGACCATCCTTCTAAAGGACAGGAGGGAGGGGGCCAACTTGATCTCACCAGGAAGGGAGTTCCACAGCCAGGGAGCAATCACCGAGAAGGCCCTGTCATTTGTCTCCACCAATCGTGCCTGTGACAATGGCGGGACGGAGAGCACGGCCTCCCCGGAGAATCTTAATCTCTGAGATGGTTCATAGGGGGAGATGCGTTCGGACTCTTTGCCAAGAATATCCTGACCGCCGTAGGGATTTGTGGGATTAACATAACTCAAAAACCACTGGACAAATTGACACGAAATTTTGACACAATACATCTAATAGTCCAACAAGTGTGCATCACCCCTAAACACACACACACACATACACACACAAACCCAGCAGAACAGACTTAAAACTTTCAAAAATACACACCATATATACACATACACTCATATACATATACATATGCATACATATATACACAAGCATACACAAATATACACATATACACATATATGTTTATATATGTGTGCATGTGTATGTGTGTGTATACGAGCACACACATTTACACAATATACATACACATATACACAAATATATACACACACACCTGCACACACATCTATACACCCACACATATATATTTGTGTATATTTGTATACATACAAACACACATATATACACATATACAAACATATACATGCACATGCACACACAAATATCCACATATAGACATATGTGTGTATACATGTGTGCATGTGTATATGTGTGTATACGAGCACACACATATACACAATATACATACACATATACCCACATATATATATGCACACACATCTATACACCCACATATATATATATTTGTGTATATGTGTATATAAACACATATATACACATATACAGACATATACATGCACACATATATACCTATACACATGCACACACAAATATACACATATACACATATGTGTGTATATATGTGTGCATGTGTATATGTGTGTGTATACAAGCACACACATATACACAATATACATAACCATATATACACATATATACACACACACCTGCACACACATCTATACACCCATAAATATATATATATATATATATATATATATATATATATGTGTGTGTGTGTGTGTGTGTGTGTGTGCATATTTGTATACATACAAGCACACATATATGCAAACATATACATGCATGTGTATGTGTGTGTATACGAGCACACACATATACACAATATACATACACATATACCCACATATATATACACACACACATGCACACACATCTATATATTTGTGTATATGTGTATATATACAAACACACATATATACACATATACACAAATATATACACACACATAAATACATATATGCACAGACTGGGCCACAGCAACGTGTGGCAGGGAACGGCTAGTCTATATAAATAAAAATGTAATATTCGTTTGTAGGATTAACATAACTCAAAAACCACTGGACGAATTGACACCAAATTTGGACAAAAGACACCTACTAACCCAACGAGCGACCATCACTCAAATTTTTTTGGATTTTGTCATTTGGGAGTTGTAGTTGCTGGGATTTATAGTTCACCTACAATCAAAGAGCATTCTGAACTCCAGCAGTGACGGAATTGAACCAAACGTGGCACACAGTTCTCCCATGACCAACAGAAAACACTAGAAAGGTTTGGTGGGCATTGACCTTGACTTTGGGAGTTATAGTTCACAGTGCAGAGAGCACTGTGGACTCAAACAATGATGAATCCGAACCAAACTTGGCACGGATATTCCATATGCCCAAATATGAACGCAGATGGAGTTTGGGGGAAATAGACCTTGACGTTTGGGAGTTGTAGTTACTGGGATTTATAGTTCATTAAAGAGAATGCTGAACCCCACCAACGACAGAACTGGGGCAAACTTCCCACACAGAACCCCATACTTAAGGACAAAGAAACAGAAAGAAATACTGTTTACCCACAAGCATGAAGAAATTACATATATTAGAAACCAACACTTTCTCATTACTTCGTCAGTGACCCAGGTCCCATACCTTTGGGCATCTGTCTCGGAACTGCAGGTATATTCTGGCGGATAATATGGAGGTGGGGGCACCGGGGGCACAAATTCATCCAGGTCTAACATGTGCGGCAAGAAAGTGTCTGGAGGAGAGGTGCAGTCCAACGTCACGGAGCTGGAACGCGGAGGAGAGAGCTGAGGAAGGGGACAGGAAAAGGGTCAGCGGATAAAGGGAACCAACGTCCCTCTGGATCGAATGGTTGTTCAGCTTCTGCCTTGTCAATCTGATTACTCTGCTTGACAAATCAATTTCCGTCTCACACATGGCCCTTTCTGCTTGGATTCATAGCAGAGGAACAGACCCAAGTCCAACCCCATTCTCCTATGTAGGAAAGCAACATCAAAGCCTTCCCGACAGATGGCCACTCAGCCTCTGAATCATAGAATCCTAGTGTTGGAAGAGACCTCAAGGGCCATCCAGCCCAACCCCATTCTCCTATGTAGGAAAGCAGCATCAAAGCCTTCCTGACAGATGGCCACCCAGCCTCTGAATCATAGCATCCTAGTGTTGGAAGAGACCCCAAGGGCCATCCAGTCCAACCCCATTCTGCTATGTAGGAAAGCAACATCAAAGCCTTCCCGACAGATGGCCACCCAGCCTCTGAATCATAGCATCCTACTGTTGGAAGAGACCCCAAGGGCCATCCAGTCCAACCCCATTCTGCTATGTAGGAAAGCAACATCAAAGCCTTCCCGACAGATGGCCACCCAGCCTCTGAATCATAGCATCCTAGTGTTGGAAGAGACCCCAAGGGCCATCCAGTCCAACCCCATTCTGCTATGTAGGAAAGCAACATCAAAGCCTTCCCGACAGATGGCCACCCAGCCTCTGAATCATAGCATCCTAGTGTTGGAAGAGACCCCAAGGGCCATCCAGTCCAACCCCATTCTGCTATGTAGGAAAGCAACATCAAAGCCTTCCCGACAGATGGCCACCCAGCCTCTGAATCATAGCATCCTAGTGTTGGAAGAGACCCCAAGGGCCATCCAGTCCAACCCCATTCTGCTATGTAGGAAAGCAACATCAAAGCCTTCCCGACAGATGGCCACCCAGCCTCTGAATCATAGCATCCTAGTGTTGGAAGAGACCCCAAGGGCCATCCAGCCCAACCCCATTCTGCTATGTAGGAAAGCAACATCAAAGCCTTCCCGACAGATGGCCACCAAGCCTCTGAATCATAGCATCCTAGTGTTGGAAGAGACCCCAAGGGCCATCCAGTCCAACCCCATTCTGCTATGTAGGAAAGCAACATCAAAGCCTTCCCGACAGATGGCCACCCAGCCTCTGAATCATAGCATCCTAGTGTTGGAAGAGACCCCAAGGGCCATCCAGTCCAACCCCATTCTGCTATGTAGGAAAGCAACATCAAAGCCTTCCCAACAGATGGTCATCCAGCCTCTGCTTAAAGCCTTCCAGAGAGGGAGACTCCATCATCATTATTGTAAAATCCTACATTTGGAAGGGACCACAAAGGCCATCCAATCCAACCGTATTCGGCCGTTGGATACCATGAAAACCCTCCCAACAGATGGCCATCCAGCCTCTGCTTAAAAAAGAATAAGAAATGAAGTAATAAGAATAATAAGAAATAATAAAAATCATAACTAAATAAGAAATAATGAATAAGAATAATAAATAATAAGAAATAAGAAATGAAGTAATAATAAATAAAGAATAAATGATGTAATAAATAATAAGAAATTAAATTGCAAGTTTTTAGAAGAAAAAAAAGATAAAAAGAAAAAAAAAAAAATAAAAAAAAAAATAAAAAAATAAAGAAAAATAAAAAAAAAAAGAAAAAAAATGAACAGAGAAAAAAAAGTAATAAAAATAATAGACTAAAAAAAAAAAAACAAAGCCCCACCAACAGATGGCCATCAAGATTCTGCTTAAAGCCTTCCAGAGAAGGAGACTCCATCATTATTATTGTGGAATCCTACATTTGGAAAGAACCACAAAGGCCATCCAATCCAACCTCATCCGGCTATTGGACACCATGAAAACCCTCCCAACAGATGGCCATCCAGCCTCTGCTTAAAGCCTTCCAGAAAAGGAGACTCCATCATCATTATTGTGGAATCCTACATTTGGAAGGGACTGCAAAGACCATCCAATCCAACCGCATTTGGCCATTGGATACCATGAAAGCCCTCTCAACAGATGGCCATCCAGTCTCTGCTTAAAGCTTTCCAGAGAAGGAGACTATCCTTATTATTGTGAATCCTACATTTGGAAGGGACCACAAAGACCATCCAATCCAACCGTATTCGGCCGTTGGATACCATGAAAACCTCCCAACAGATGGTCATCCAGCCTCTGCTTAAAGCCTTCCAGAGAGGGAGACTCCATCATCATTATTGTAAAATCCTACATTTGGAAGGGACCACAAAGGCCATCCAATCCAACCGTATTCGGCCGTTGGATACCATGAAAACCCTCCCAACAGATGGCCATCCAGCCTCTGCTTAAAAGCTTCTAAAGGAGACTCTGCCAGACTCCAAAGCAGTTGGAGGAGACTCCAAAGGACATCCAGTCTACCCCATTCTACGGTGTGGGAAGACACCATCAAAGCCCGCCCGACAGATGGCCATCCAACTTCTGAAATGTAGACTCCTATTGTTGGGAGTCAGTTTAAGGTTCATCCTAAGGAATGTTAGACCTTTCTAGGAGACTCACCACATGGAGGATGTCCACAGAAAAGATCTGGATGCAACACATGATGGCCGAGAGGGTGCACACCACGATGGCAAAAATAGTCAGGCCGCAAACACTGAAGAGGAGATCCTAAGTCAGGGGTAAGAGGATGGGAACAGTTGTGAGGAGAACCAATGAAAAGGTGCATTTTTCCATACACAAGTTCCTGGGTTGAATCCTCTACATCTCCCATGTGTCATTCAAAAAGATATATATCTATATAAATAAAAATGTCATGTTCATTTGTGGGATTAACAGAACTCTGAAACCACTGGACTAATTGACACCAAATTTAGACACAAGACACCTAACAACCCAATGTATGTCCTTCACTCAAAAACATTGATTTTGTCATTTGGGAGTTGTAGTTGCTGGGATTTATAGTTCAACTACAATCAAAGAGCATTCTAAACCCCACCAAGGATGGAATTGAACCAAACTTGGCAAACAATTCTCCCTTGACCAACAGAAAATACTGGAAGGGTTTGGTGGGCAGTGTCCTTTGGTTTTGGAGTTGTAGTTCACCTACATCCAGAGATCACTGTGGACTCAAACAATGATGGATCTGGACCAAACTCTACATGAACACTCACTATGCCCAAATGTGAACACTGGTGGAGTTTGGGGAAAATAGAATCTTGACATTTGGGAGTTGTAGTTGCTGGGATTTATAGTTCACCTACAATCACAGAGCATTCTGAAGCCCACCAACGATAGAATTGGGCCAAACCTCCCACACAGAACCCCCATGTGGGCCGCAGCAACGCATGGCAGGGGATGGTTAGTGTATATATATATGAATGTCATGTTCGTTTGTGAGATTAACGTAACTCAAAAACCACTGGATGAATTGACACCAAATTTGGACACAATACAACTAACAATCCAACGAGTGTCCATCACCCCTAAACACACACACGCACACACAAAACCCCAGCGGAACAGACTTAAAAACTCAAAAAATACACCATATATACATATACACATACACTCATATGATCATATACGAGTGTATGTGGATCATATACACATGCACACATTCATACACACACACACACACATATATATATGCAGAAACACACACAAATATACACATATACACACATACATATACATACACACATATATACATATACACATGCACACACAAATATACTTATATACACATGCATATATATATATATACACATGCACACACATGTACATATACACATATATACACACAAATATGCATATAGATAAGCACACACATATAAACAATATGCATGTACACATATAAATGCACAAATATATATACACATATATACACACACACATATATACACTCACTCTCACACACACACATATACGCAAACACATATAAACACATATATACACATACAAAACACATGTACACAGACTGGGCCAGAGCAACGCGTGGCAGGGGACAGCTAGTATATATATACCCTGTGTGTGTGTGTAGAAATTCCACAATGGTTGACTATCACTTATCTAAAACGCTTTGGACCAGAAATGTTTATATTTTCTGTTTTTGGATTTCCGAATACATGAGATATTTTGGAAATGAGACCTAAGCCGAAACATGAAATTCATTGATGTTTACACCTAGTCTGAAGGCAATTTTATCACACCATACATCACATATACCTATCTCTCTATCTCTCCATCCCTCTCTCCATCAATCATGTTTATTATATCTGTCTTTCTGTCCATCTGGCCCAGGGATGGGCAAACCCAGGCACAGATTTGGCCCCTTGGGCTCTTTTCTCAGGCCCTCCTCTCTCTCACCATCATATCCTTCCTTCTCTCTTTCCTTCCTCCTTCTCTCCTTCTCCTTCCTTCCCTTTTGTCTTTCTCCTTCTCTTTCCTCCCCCTCCTTTCTTCCTTCCTTTCCTCTTCTCCCTTTCCTCCCTTCCCTTTCCTCCTTCCTTCCTTCTCTCTTCCTTCCTCCTTCCTTCCACCTTTTCATCCTTCCTTCCCTCTTTCTTCCTCTCTCCCTCTTTCTCTTCTCCTTCCTTCCCTTTTGTTTTTCCTTCATTCTCTCTTTCCTTCCGCCTCCCTCCCTCCCTTCTTTTTCCTTCCTCCTCCCCTCTCTCCCTTCCATCCCTCTTTTTCCTTCCATCCTTCCCTTCCGCCCTCTTGTCCTTCCTTCCTTCCTTCCTCTTTCTTCCCACTCTCCTCTTCTCTCTCCCTCTCTTCTTCCTTCTTCCTCCTCTTTTTCCTTCCTCTCCCCTTCCCTTCCCTTCAACCCTTTCATCCTTCCTCCCTCCTTTTGTCTTCCTTCCTTCTCTCTTTCCTTCCCCTTCCTTCCCCTTCTCCCTCTTTTCTCCTTTTATCCTTCCTTCCTCCCTCTTTCCTCCCTCTCCTCTTTCTCCTCCTTCCTTCAATCCTTCCTTCCTTCCTTCCTTCCTTCCTTCCTTCCTTCCTTCCTTCCTTCCTTCCTTCTACCCTTTAATTTTTCCTTCTCTCTTTTTTTCCTCCTTCCCTCTCTCCCTTCTGTCCTTCTTTTTCCTTCCATCCTTCCCTTCCATCCTCTCGTCCTTCCTTCCCTCTTTCCTCCCTTCCCTCTCCCTCCCCTCTTCTCTCCTTCCTTCTTCCCTTCTTTCCTCCTTCTTCTTCCTTTTTTTCCTTTCCTTCCCTTCTCCTTCTCTTCCTTCCTTCTTCCTCCTTCTTTTTTCCTTCCCCTTCCTCCCTTCTCCTTCCTCCCCTCCCTTTTGTATTTCCTTCCTTCTCTCTTCCTTCCTCTTTCCTTCTCCCTTCTTCCCTCTTTTCCTTCCATCCTTCCCTTCCACCCTCGTCTTCCTTCCCTCTTCCTCCCCTCTCCTCTTTCTCCTTCCTTCCTTTGGTCTTTCCTTCCTTCTCTCCTTCCTTTACCTTTCCCTCCTTCCTTCTCTTCCTTCCTTCCTTCTCTTTTTCTTCTCCTCCATTCTTCCCTTCCACCCTTTCATCCATCCTTCCCCTTTGTCTTTCCTTCCTTCCCTCTTCCCTCTCTCTCTTCTCTTTCCACCCATCCTTCCCTTCCTTCCTTCTCTCTTTCCTTCCTCCTTCCCTTCCTTCCTTCCATCACTGGGAAGCCATTCCTCCTTGCAGGGAGAGCTAGCATGCAGTCCCCAAGTTAGAAAGCAAAAGTGTCGCTATCTCAGCCACCCATATAAACAATTTGAGATTTTGGAGTGTTTTGAAATTTCAGAGGAGGGATGCTCAACTTGTATTCTGGGTGTTGCAATCCCAGATGAGGGATGCTCAACCTGTATTGGAAGGATTCGAGTCTGGTCTGTTTCGTTGTGTCTAACCAGCCCATCCAGTTGAGAGGCATCTTAACAACAGAGACAAAAGTTGCGTCAAAACCTTGTCTCCGTCTTACTGGGAGCTACCCAGATTATAATTGCAAAATTTGGGGATATCTTGCAAGGTCTCTCGTTCAGAGTCTAAAAAGTAACTTATCATTTACTTATCAGTTCCAGAAGCATTTTCTCCTGACGTTTCGCCCACATCTAAGGCAGGCATCCTCAGAGGTTGTGAGGTCTGTTGGAAACTAGGCAAGTGGGGTTTGTATATCCAGGGTGGGACAAAAGAGTTCTTGTCTACTTGAGGCAAATGTGAATGTTGCACTTGGCCAGCCTGATTAGTATTGAATGGCCTTGCAGCTTCAAAGCCTGGTTGCTTCCTGCCTGGAGGAATCCTCTGTTGGGAGGTGTTAGCTGGTCCTTGGGAAATTCATGTCTAATCACTGCATTGTCATGTAGATATCTACACTCTGACATATATTATTATAACATTATTAGCTGTACCCGCTACGTGTTGTTATGGCCAACCTTTACTCCCTCTTTCTCTCCTTTCTTTCTCTCCTTCCTTCCGTCTTTTACTTTCCCTTCTTCTTTCTTCCTTCTCCACCTGTTTCTTTTCTCCCTTCCTTTGCTCTGTTTCCATCCTTCCTTTCTCCTTCCTTCCTTCCCTCTTCTCTTTCTTTCTTCTCTCCTTCCTTCCCTCTTTCACTTTATTCCCTTCTCTCCTTCCTTCCTTCTCTACCTTTCTTTCTTTCCTTCTCTCCTTCCCTCCTTCTTTCCCTCTTTCTCTCCCTCCTTCTCTCCTTCCTTCTCTACCTTTCTTTCTTTCCTTCTCTCCTTCCCTCCTTCTTTCCCTCTTTCTCTCCTTCCTTCCTTCCTTCTCTACCTTTCTTTCTTTTCTTCTCTCCTTCCCTCCTTCTTTCCCTCTTTCTCTCCCTCCTTCTCTCCTTCCTTCTCTACCTTTCTTTCTTTCTTCTCTCCTTCCCTCCTTCTTTCCCTCTTTCTCTCCCTCCTTCTCTCTCCTTCTCTCTACTTCTTCTTTTTTCTCTCCTTCTTTCCTCTTTCTCTCTCTTTCTCTTCTTCCTCTTCCTTCTCTTCTTTTCTTCTCCCTTCCTCCTTCTCTCTCTTTCTCTTCCTCCTTCTCTTCTTTCTTCTCTGTCTTTCTTTCTTTCTTTTCTCCTTCTTCCTTCTTCCTTCCTCCTCTTCCCTCCTTCTTCCTTCTTCTTCCTTCCTTCTCTACCTTTCTTTCTTTCCTTCTCCCCTCCTCCTTTCCCTCTTTCTCTCCTCCTTCTCCCTTCTCCTTCCTTCCTTCTCTCCTCCTCTCCTTCCTTCTCTATCTTTCTTCTTCTTCTCTCCTTCCCTCCTTTCCCTCTTTCTCTCCCTCCTCTCTCCTTCCTTCCTTCTTCCTTCTCTCTACCCTTTCTTCTTTCCTTCTCCTTCTTTCTCTCCTCCTTCTCTCCTTCCTTCCTTCTCTATCTTTTCTTTCCTTCCTTTCCCTCCTTCTTTCCCCTTCCTCCTTCCTTCCTCCTTCCTTCCCCCTTTCTGTATATGTTGTGTGCTATATGTGTGTATATTTCTGTATATATTTGTGTATATGTGTGTGCTTGTGTGCATATGTGGTTTTGCGCATGCGTTGTAATGTATTTTTTATTCCTTGGCTTTTACAGTCCCTTCCACCGTGTTTGTCAGTGTTTTTATGAGTGATGGTCACTCAATGGCCTGATCGGTGTATTGTCTCCAAATGTGGGGTCAATTCATCCTGTGGTTTTTGAGTTATGTTAATCCCACAAATAAACATTACATTTTTATTTATATAGATTATTATTATTATTATTATTATTCATAATAATAATGATGAGGCTTTCCAACTACAGACATGTCGGTATTGAGGCTTTCCAACTCCAGACATGTTGGTACAATTGATGCGGCATTCCATCTACCAACGCATCAACATGGCCATCGCTACTCACCTTGATGACCAAGAGAAGTCTGGAACAATCGGGAACTCGGTCTGGACTATTTCTGCAGAAAGCTTCGGAATTGCACTGTTTGTTTTGCTCGGTGGGGGAGATCATCTGTGGGAAACGATTCCTGTTTGTGCCAACGTTCAGCTGGAAGAGGAGCATGAGCTTCAGACAAGTTTGCACCTATGTGCAGTTGCATTACATCATGGGCTTTGTAGTAGGACTACTCCTCCTTCTTGGAGATCCCATATATCTTCCTTTGTAGACCAAAATCAATACTCCTCTTCCCTGAGATATATCCACTGTATACAGTTACAACAATACCATTTCAGCCTTCATCTACACTGCCGTATATCCCAGGGTCTGATCCGAGATTATCTGCTTTGAACTGGATTATGAGTCTCCAGTCATATAATAATAATAATATTAATAATAATAATAATAATAATGGATAATCAGATAATGACCCTTTCGACATTCCCGTATAATCCAGATTATCAAAGCAAATAATCCACATTATCTGCTTTGAACTGGATTATATGAGTATCCACTGCCATATAATCTGGGATAATCACTTCAACATTGCTGTATTGTCCTCTTCGGCACTGCTGTATAATCCAGATTATCAAAGCAGATAATCCACATTATTTGCTTTGAACTGGATTATATGAATCTCCACTGTCATATAATCTGGGATAATCAGATAATGGCCCTTTTGACATTGCCGTATAAACCAGATTATCAAAGCCGATAATCCACATTATATGCTTTGAACCGGATTATATGAATCTCCACTGCCATATGAAATGGGATAATCAGATAATGGCCCCTTTGAGACTGCTGTATAATCCAGATTAACAAAGCAGATAATCCACATTACCTGCTTTGAACTGGATTATGTGAGTATCCACTGCTATATAATCAGATAATGGCCCCTTCGACACTGCTGTATAATCCAGATTATCAAATCAGATAAGCCACATTATTTGCTTTGAACCGGATTATATGAATCTCCACTGCCATATAAAATGGGATAATCAGATAATGGCCCCTTCGAGACTGCTGTATAATCCAAATTAACAAAGCAGATAATCCACATTATCTGCTTTGAACTGGATTATGTGAGTATCCACTGCCATATAATCAGATAATGGCCCCTTCGACACTGCTGTATAATCCAGATTATCAAAGCAGATGATCCACATTATCTGCTTTGAACTGGATTATATGAGTCTCCATGGCCATATAATCTGGGATAATCAGATAATGGCCCCTTCGACACTGCTGTATAATCCAGATTATCAAAGCAGATGAATCTCATTATTTGCTTTGAACTGGATTATATGAATCTCCACTGCCATATAATCTGGGATAATCAGATAGTGGCCCCTTCGACACTGCCATATAATCTGGGATAATCCAGATGACAATCCAGATTATCAAAGCAGATGAATCTCATTATTTGTTTTGAACTGCATTATATGAGTCTCCATAGGATAATCAGATGTCCTCTTCGACACTGCCAGATTATCAAAGCATATAATCCACTTTGAACCGGATTATATGGTCTACACTGTCATATAATCCAGTTCAAACAGATAATCTGGATATTCTATGACAGTATAGAAGGGGCCTTTGAAAGATTCTCCACCCCGGATTGTAAGCAGCCCCTTCCCATTCCCACGTTCCAAACCCAACGTTGGTGTCCACCTGGGGGACAGTGTCACCGGTGTGTCTCCCCAGAGGGTCCAGGCGATAATTGTCCCTGAGCCCAAGGTTTTCTTGGTGCTTTAGCCGCTCGCAGACCTCCTGGGCCTTGACCTGCTGGGCATGTCGGCAGGAAAGGATGGAGCCCGCCAGGCTCAGCATGATGCCCAGGACCGAGAGGAGGGTGAAGAAGGTGATCTGGGAAGGAGACATCAAGAGAAGGAGGAAACATGGGTGAGAATGACCCAGGCGCATCACAGGAGAGGTCTGCATCAAAGGGTGCTTCCAAACCTAGCCTTGGAAACCTTAGCATAGCCACACTCAACCATGTGGTAGGTTCACCCACCATCTCAACTCTGTTTTGACAAGGATCCCTGTCACTGAGAAGGACCTTGGACAACTTTAGGACAGTTGGAAGGGCAGCCACTATATTCTCTCTTTGAGAGGTCTGTTTCTCAATCAGTTCATCACCCTCTCTCTTTTCTTCCATTCTTCCTTTCCTTCCTCCCTTGCTTTCCATCATACACGTCCACCCCTCCCTCTCTCCCTTCCTTTCATCTGTTCTTCCTTCCTTCCTCCTCCTTCTCTTCCTTCCTTTCTTTTTTCCTTCTTTCCTTCCTCTTCCTTCCTTCCTCTTCCTTCTTCCTTCCTTCTCCTTTTCCTTCCTCTTTTCTTTCCTTCCTCCTCTCCTCCCTCCCTCCCTTCCTTCCTTCCTTCGTTCTTTCCTTCCTTTTCTTCCTCCCTTCCTTCTCTCCTTCCTTCTTCTTTCCTTCCTTCCATCCCATTCCTTCTTCTCTTCTTCCTTCTCTTCCTTCCCTTCTTCTTCCTTCCTTTCTCTTCCTTCCTTCCTTCCTTCCTTTCTCCTTCCTTCTCCTTCCTTTCCCTTCCCTCCCTTCTTTTCTCTCCTTCCTTCCCCTTCTTTCCCTTTTCCTCCCTTTTGGTTTTTGTTTTTTTTGTTATTTTTAGTTTCAATAATTTCTCTCTTTCCTTTGCCATCCATTATAGATTTGAAGTTGTGTTATTTTAGTATTATTTGTTATATTTTCTTAGTTTTGTATTATATATTATGATGTTAGTTTTTTTTAAGGGTTTGTTGGTTTTTTAATTGTTTAAGCTTTTTTTTTTATTTATTATTTTTTTTTTACTATCTGTATTTCTCTTTTGCCTTTATTTATTTTCTTTGTATATTGCATGGTTTTTTTGATTACTCTTACACTACAACCTTCACTCCTTGTGTATTTGTTCTGTTTGGTCTGTTTTGTCCGTTCCTTGTGATAATCGCTTTTTTGTCTTTTATATCCTTGATTGTTTAATTTTTCTTGTGCCTATCCGTATTATCCTTATCCTTGAATTCTATTATCCTTTGTAGTTATATTTTCTGTTTCCTTGTCCTGGTTTTGTTATCTTTTTATCATGTGTCAGTTCTTTTTTTTTTGTTGTTTTATTTTGTGTAATATACAGGGTTGTTGTTTTTTTTTGCCTTCTTGCGTTGGTTTTTTAGTTTTTATCCTTTTTCCTTTGCCTTTAAATTATATAATTTGTATTTTTCCTTATTTGAATATTTCTTTTCTTTCCTTTTCCTTCCTTCCTTCTTTCCTTTGTCTTTCTTTCCTTTTTCTTTCCTCTTCTTTTTCTCCTTTTCCTTCCTTCCTTCCTTCCTTCCTTCCTTCCTTCCTTCCTTCCTTCCTTCTTCTTCCTTCCTTCCTTCCTTCCTCCTTCCTTCCTTCCTTCCTTCCTTTGTCTTCCTTCCTTCCTTCCCCTTCCTTCCTTCCTTTTCTTTTCCTTCTTCCTCCTTCCATCTATTTTACCTTCCTTCCTTCCTTTGTTTTCCCCTTCCTCCTTCCCTCCTTCCTTCCTTCCTTCCGGCGCGGAGGCGGCCGGCCGGGCCTGCCGGCCCTTCCGGTCCCCGCGCCGTCCCCTTCCTTCCTTCCTTGCCTTCCTTCCTTCCTTCTTTCCTTTCTTCCTGCCTTCCTGCCTTCCTGCCTTCATTCCATCACTCCTTCCTTCCTTCCTGCCTTCCTTCATTCCCCTCCTTCCCTTCCCTTCGCTTCCTTCCCCCCTTTTCCCCCTTCCTTCCCTCTTCCTCCCCTTCCTTCCCCTCTTCCCTTCCCTTCCCTTCCCTTCCCTTCCTTTCCCTTCCCTTCCCTTCCCTCCCTTCCCTTCCCTTCCCTTCCCTTCCCTTCCCTTCCCTTCCCCCCTTCCCTTCCCTTCCCTCCCCTCCCCTCCCCTCCCCTCCCTCCTTCCTTCCTTCCTTCCTTCCTTCCCTTCCTTCCTTCCTTCCTTCCTTCCTTCCTTCTTTCCTTCCTTCCTTCCATCTATTCATCACTTCCTTCCTTCCTTTGTTTTCCCCTTCCTTCCTCTTCCTCTTCCTTCCTTCCTTCCTTCCTTTCTTCCTTCCTTCCTTCCTTCCCTCTTTTTTCCCTTCCTTCCTTCCTTCCTTCGCTTTCCTTCCTTCCTTCTCTCCTTCCTCCTCCTCCTCCTCCCTTCCTTCCTTCTTTCCTTCCTTTGTCTTCCTTCCTTCCTTCCTTCCTTCCTTCCTTCCTTCCTTCCTTCCTTCCTTCCTTCCTTCCTTCCTTCCACTCATTCCTTCCCCTTCCTTCCCCTTCCTTCCTCCTTCCTTTTCCTTCCCTTCCTTCCTTTCCCTCTTCCTCCTTCTTCCTTTCTCTCTTTCCTTCCCTTCCTTCCTTCCTTCCTTCCTTCCTTCCTTCCTTTCTTCTTTTCTTTCTTCCTTCCTTCCTTCCTCTCCTTCCTTCCTCCTTCCTTCCTTCCTTCCATCCCTCTCCTCTCCTCTTCCTTCCTCTTTCTCCTTCCTTTCTTCCCCTTCCTTCCCTTCCTTCCTTCCTTCCTTCTTTCTTCCCCCTTTCCTTCCTTCCTTCCTTCCTTTCCCTTCCTTCCTTCCTTCCCCTCCCTCCCTCCCTTTCCCTTCCCTTCCCTTCCTTCCCTTCCCTTCCCTTCCCTTCCCTTCCCTTCCTTCCTTCCTTCCTTCCTTCCTTCTTCCTTTTCCTTCCTTCCTTCCTTCCTTCCTCTTCCTTCCTTCCTCTCCTTTCCCTCTCTTCCTCCTTCTCCTTCCTTCCTTCCTTCCTTCCCCTTGCCTTCCTTCCTTCCATCCTTCTCCTTCCTTCCTTTCAGATTGGGCTAACTTGGGTGTTATTGCTGGTGTTGGGGGTTTTTGGTATGGGGGTTTTTCTTTCCCTTCCTTCCATCCTTCTCTTCCTTCCTTCCTTCTGTCTTCCTTCCTTCCTCCTTTTCCTTCCCCTCTTCCTTCCCCCCTCCCCCCCTCCTCCGTGTTTTGGGTTTTTTTAGTTTGTGTGAGTTTTTTTTTCCTCCCTTCTTCCTTCCTTCCTTCCTTCTCTTCCTTCCTTTCTTCTCCTTCCATCCTCCCTCCCTTCTCCTTCCTTCTTCTTTCCTCCTTTTTCCGTCCTTCCTTCCCTCTTCCTTCCCTCCTTCCTTCTTCCTTCTTCTACTTCCTTCCTTCCTTCCTTCCTTCCTTCCTTCCTTCCTTCCTTCCTTCCCCTTCCCTCCCTTCCTTCCTTCCTTCCTTCCTTCCTTCTTTCCTTCCTTCCTTGCACGCTTTATTACAGAGGAGAAAGGCCGTCTCCAGGAAATGATGCCAACTACTCCAGAGAATGCCAGCTAGAGAGAGAGAGACAAAGGAAAGGAAGTTAATAGGCACCACAGCATTGACTTGAACGCCTAGTCATGTTGTCCTTAATTATTGATGTGATGACTGGCTGAGCTCGGAATTACTTTTAGAGGAGGCTTGTCTTGGAGCTCATTACTTGAAAAGTAATTAGTTCCAACTTACAGTGTCAAGTATTTCATTAACAACACAACTCTAGTTCCGAAGCAGTGCTTTGCTTTCTTGTTATTTGAGGGGTAACAAAATAGTTAGTTCAAATTACTTCCTTCTGATCTAGAGCTAAAATTTAGGGGTCTTTGCCAGGAGACGGAGACCAATTAGACTCATCAAAGAGTTCTTTTTCCCTGGCGAGAAGAGAAGTACCCAATAATTTTCCCTGATTTCCCAATGAAAGGTCTCACGAAGTTGAAGAAAAGCCATCAAGGTTTTATTTGCGATTCAGCTGAAAAGGATGCAGAGCTGCAATCATTCGCCAGCAGAGCATGAGGAGAATACACCAATACAGTCATATTTATAGTAAATTCAAAGTTGCAGAGTTCAAACTTCCCGCCCCAGCTTCCCTGTTGTTCCCCGCCATGATTGGGCGATGGGCAAACAGCTGGGAGGCGGCCCTCCTGCTCCCGATGCCTCTGGACCAATCAGGAAGCTCCAGTGGTCCGTAGGATCCAATGGGGAGACCTCTGCCATCTGGTGGCAACAGCAAATCAGGAGAGAGGGAGGTGGGATGATAGAACACAAAGGAATCTGTGAATTAGTTTTGAAAAAAATAATGCCATGTGGCTCGCGAGACAAAAGGAAGTCTCCAGCAAGGCTGATCTATTGTGTTCATGAGTGTTGTAAATCAGCATGTGTAAAAATATCCAGATCCCTCCTGCTGTGAGACAGGAGAACACTGAGGGCAGCCTGGGGTTAATGCTATCAATGGGAAATAAACAAAAAGCAGAGGGGAAGATTTTCCCTTATCTTACTTGAAGGGTGATAGAAACTTTGCCAAACAATTCTTTACTCTAGTGGGCCATCTCTGATGCTAGAGATCAGAATCTCCTCCTATTATCCATGCAAGTGTGTCTTTGGCTGGAGGTTTCGGTAATCGCTAATGGCTTTTGTTTCTGAAGGCCAGGTGGTTCCCTTACATACTTCTTTGGAGGGAGAAGGGGGCAAAGGGTCAGGAATACAAGGAAACATAGGGGAAATATAGAAATCATAATACAGAGAGTAAACCCAACTACCTTCCCCCAGTGTCCATAGTTCATATTATTCATAGGAAGGTCCATAAAGGGAAATATCTCCATGAGGGGGAAAGAGAGTCCCTTGTTTGTGAGATGGGGGGCCATCAGGAGCCCAGGTGTGCCTCAGGTGGGAAAATTCAAATACTTTTGTGGCATGATTTTCAGTAATAAATGGGTTACGTTCTGCTGTAAACATATGAGAATAGAGCATAAAGCCTTGATTGAATGATACCCACCAAACTGACCAAGGCTTATTATTATTATTATTATTATTATTATTATTATTATTATTATTAAACTTTATTTGTACCCTGCTAGCATCTCCCGAAGGACTCGATGCGGCTTAAAAAGGCCAAGGCCTCAACACACAATATAACAAAACAAAACATAAGGCAAATTAAAAACAATTCAAGCAATATAAACAAGCAATAAACAATACACTAAAACACAATAAAACTGGGCCGGGCCAGAGTAATGGGTACAAGATTAAAAGTGCTGATGTGACAGGAGGTGTATAAAGGGTTTCTAGGGCAAGTGCAATGTGCAGTGTGCAGCAATCATTGGTTCTGGTAAAGTGCTTGTGGGACTCGGTAATGGAGATTTCCTAATCTGGGAAGGCGCATCGGAAAAGCCAGGTTTTTAAGTTCTTTCTGAAGATAGCCAAAGAAGGGGCCTGTCTAAGGTCTTTGGGGAGGGTGTTCCAGAGTTGGGGGGCCACTACGGAAAAGGCCCTGTCCCTTGTCCCCACCAAACGTGCGTGCGACGTAGGTGGGATCACGAGCAGGGCCTCCCCAGATGACCGAAGGGAGCGTGTGGGTTCGTAAGTGGAGATGCGGTCACGCAGGTAGAGTGGTCCCAAACCGTTCAGGGCTTTGTAGGTAAGCACCTGCACCTTAAATTGGGCTCGGAAAATAAACGGCAGCCAGTGGAGCTCTCTTGAACAGGAGGGTTGACCTCTCTCTGTAATGAGCCCCGGTTAACATCCTGGCTGCTGCCCGTTGGACCAGTTGGAATTTCCGAGCCGTTTTCAAGGGCAGCCCCACGTAGAGCGCATTGCAGTAGTCCAATCTGGAGGTGACCAAGGCATGGACCACCCCGGCCAGATCAGCCTTCGCGAGGTACGGTCGCAGTTGGCGCACGAGTCTCAGTTGTGCGAAAGCCCTCCCAGACACCGCCGACGCCTGAGCCTCAAGTGTAAGTGATGAGTCCAGGAGGACTCCCAAACTGCGGACCTGTGGCTTCAGGGGGAGTGCAACCCCGTCCAGCACAGGTTGCCACCCTATACCCCGATCCGGTTTACGATCGACCAGGAGGACCTCTGTCTTGTCAGGATTGATCTTCAGCTTGTTCCTCCTCATCCAGTACAGACACAGCGGCCAGGCACTCGTCCAGCACCCGAGAGGCCTCCTTGGAGTTAGGTGGAAAGGAGTAGTAGAGCTGTGTGTCATCTGCATAGAGGTGGCACCTAGCTCCAAAACTCCGGATGACCTCTCCCAGAGATTTCTGCATAGAGATGGCACCTAACTCCAAAACTACGGATGACCTCTCCCAGTGGTTTCATGTAAATGTTAAAAAGCATGGGAGACAAAATAGAGCCTTGCGGGACCCCACAGGTCAAAGGCCAGGGGTCCGAGCAGGCATCTCCCAGCTTCACCATCTGGGATCGACCCTCCAGGAAGGACCGGAGCCACGACAAAACCGTGCCCCTGAGACCCATCCCAGAGAGTCGACCCAGAAGGATACCATGATCGATGGTATCGAAAGCCGCTGAGATGTCCAAGAGAACCAACAGGTCACACTCCCCCTGTCCAGCTCTCTACGGAGGTCATCCACCAAGGCGACCAAGGCTGTCTCGGTACCATGACCAGGCCTGAAACCAGACTGTGACTGATCTAGGTAGTTGATGTCATCTAAAAAGCCCTGGAGCTGGGAGGCAACCACCCGCTCCAGCACCTTACCCAAAAAAGGAAGGTTGGAGATCGGTCTGAAATTGTTCAGCACCGTGGAGTCAAGGGAAACCTTTTTAAGGAGTGGACGAACCACAGCTTGTTTCAGGAGGGATGGAAAAAACCCCTGCTCCAATGATGCATTGATGATCAACTCAAACCAGTCAACCAAACCCTCCCTGGCCGATTTAATTATTTATTATTTATTTATTATTTATTTATTACTGCGCTTGTATACCGCTATTTCTCAGCCTGAATCGGCGACTCAATGCGGTTTACAACACTACAAAAATCACAATATTCAGTTTAAAAGCATAAAAACACATATACAATACAAAATTATTGGGCCACCAATAACAATCCAATTGCATCTCGTAACTGAAATCGCAATCCAATCTCATCGTCCATGATTACCAGTCCTTTGATCATCAGAATTCATTGCACCGGGTTAACCGAATGCTTGTTCAAACATCCATGTCTTCAATCTTTTTCGAAACACCATCAGCGAGGGGGCTGATCTTACCTCTATAGGGAGGGCGTTCCAAAGCCGAGGGGCCACCACAGAAAAGGCCCTGTCTCTCGTCCCCGCCAGCCGCACCTGTGAAGCCGGCGGGATAGAGAGCAGGGACTCCCCAGAAGATCTTAGGGTCCTGGTGGGCTGATAGGCCGAGATACGTTCGGATAGGTAAGTTGGGCCAGAACCGTTTAGGGCTTTATAGGCCAACGCCAGCACTTTGAATTGAGCCCGGTAGCAAATCGGCAGCCAGTGGAGCTGGTGCAGCAGAGGAGTTGTATGCTCCCTGCGCTCCGCTCCTGTTAGTATCATGGCTGCTGCCCGTTGGACTAATTGGAGCTTCCGAGCCGTCTTCAAAGGCAACCCCACGTAGAGAGCGTTGCAGTAGTCAATTAGCCAGGACGGGCAAGGGTCCAGAGCTTAACCCTTGTTATCCAGCCTGGCGTCCTTGCCCTTAGCAAAACTATAAGTTACTATCTCGGGGGGGGGGGGTCATGTTCGACTTCACTTCCTTTTGAAAAGGGTGGCTGGACTTCCACATACTGTAACACAGTTTGAACTGGCCTATATGGTCATATGAGTCTACACTGACCATACAATGCAGATCCAAACTGGGTTGTATGACTGTGTTCTCTATGTCGATGTCAGTATATGGTAGATCTCCTTCTTATGGGAAAGGGAATGATAAGCTGCTGGAAACAACAACAAGCTCTCTTTCTCTTGGAGACATGCCTTTCATCGAGCCCTTGGCAGCGGAGACGGATCTCATGGCCAAGGGAAAGGCAGCATTTATTGGTAAACGAGGGATGCTTCTTTTTTAAATGGAGCTCATTCAGTCTGAATTATTCATTGCTCTGTTTTTGCAGTCGGTGCAATTCAAAATGAGGCTATAATGCAAACTGCTCTGGATACAGGAAACACAACATCAACACTGCTTAAAGCACAGCAACCAACGCACACTTTGTTTGAGTGAGGACTTGTCTACATTGCCGTTTAATGCAGTTTGAAACTGCATTATGTGGTGAGTGTAGACTCATATTGAAAGGGTCTTTTAGTGAAAGTAAGCAAGGGGTTTTGAATGAAATTAACAACATAAGAGAAGTATACCCTTTCTCTGTAGAAAAAGAGCAATACGGAAGAAAATGCTTTTAAGGAACAAGATGTGACATGTAGAGATTCAAGAAGGTACTTTCTTACACAGGATGTGTTGTGGTTAACTTCAAAGGTTGTAGTAAAGTGCAGAGTCTGCATGTACAAGAAGGTACTTTCCATCAAAAGGTCAAGAGAGAGAGGCTGGAAAGAGA